GGCCGGACGTGCTGCGCTTGGGGGCCCGGAGGGAAGGAGGGAGGGAGATCGGACGAAGCTGCGAGGAAACCTGGGGGCGGAGGGCACCCAGGGGAAACTTGGCTGGGGGCGGCTAGAGCGGGGACCCGTGGGGCGGGTCCTGGTGGGCGCGACTGGGGATCCCGGTGCTGGGTTCGGCCGAGGACGTGGATAATGAGCTGCGGGAGAATGGAAGGACTTAAGGGGATCCGGTGCCAAAGAGGTGAAGGGAACAGGTGCTCGGGCTGTCAGTGAAGTTTGGGGCCTTGGAGGAGGCTTGGGTCAGACCCCGGGACCTGCGAGAGGAGGCTCTCGGCGCTCCCGGGGGAGAGCCCAGCTCCCGCTCCTCCTGGCTGGCCGCCGGTGCCCAGGCTGCGGTCCTGGGGCATCCGCCTTCCGGGGCGGTCGCTCACTCCGAGCCCTCAGAGAGGCCCTGGCAGGAGTCAGCGGGGAGGAGGCCGGCCAGAGAGCCCCTTTGGCTTCCTTCCTTCCTTTCCTCCCTCTTGGGGAAGCGCTGGGCGGGTGACGCTCATCGGTGGCTTCCTTGGGGTCCGGAACGCTAGAGAAGGAGTCTTGCAGCCGGGTGTGAACGGGACCGGGAAGTGCTGGAGCTCAAGATCCCGGGGTGTATGGGGCACGCCTACCCCGACCGAGCTCTGGTGGCTGCCGCCCTCAGCCTTCCTGGAGAGCCTGCTGGGATGGACGGTAAATGAAGCCTGCCTTCGCGGGGGGAGCAGTCCGCTGCTCCCGTTTCTGGCAAACGTGTTTCAGATAAAAGGGCTGGGGGACCACTGGTGTGCTTTTTTTTTTCCTCTAGGAAATGAAAAACATTATATGGTGAGATGTGTTAGGCATTTGCATGAATCCCTGTGCAGTGACAGCCTGTGGGTCCCTAGTTAGATCGGGTCTGCTGCCTAATGCTGGCCCTGGCTCTGTTATTGTTGGAAGTGAAAGATGAGGCAGACATATTCTATTTGTGTATAGATATCTCTATTTTAAAGCCACGACTTCTGGTTTTTGCCTATTGCAGCCAGTTCCTTGTAGCGGTGTGTGTGTGTTGTTGACCGGTGGTGGTGGTGGCTCTCACTGTCTTTAAGGTATTTAAGCATATTTGAATAGCTGAACAAAAACAGGTTTACAGAGCTCCCCCATTTTATTTTAATTGCACGCTTACTTTTCCTTAATAAAATGAGCTTGTGAAAAAGTAATGGGCAAGTGTTCCTAAATTAGAGAAAGAGAATTTAAGTTTTATTCACATGCCCTTCTCAACGGTTCTGTAGTTAGGTTTGTACTCTTTCCCCTTTGTGATTTACATATATCTTTTGTTGCCTACTGGGCTGTCATTTCTATGAAAGAAATTTCTTTTTACACCGTGTTGAGATCAGTGACAGAAATATTCTGGACTGTGGAGTCAAGTGCATTCTTCCTACAAAAGAAGCTGAATCAAAGTTATGTTGTACTCAATTAAGGGAATGGTTTAAGTAAAAGTGTAATGAGTTACTTTATTTTAGAATCCAGGATTATTTTCTGTGACATGTTGCTGTAGTATTGTTTTGCTAATACACTCATAATTCTTGATTTCTGTGTTTTTTACTCATATTAATGGCTTCTAGTTACTTGTGACAGATACTGGGGAGACATTGCCACATAGTGTCTTTTGGGTGATAAACTTGATGACTTTTCATAAAAAATGTAATGCTTATAAGAAGTACATTTCTCACCTGTGAAGATGCTGGCAAGATGCTCCCTGTTACTGTTAATTTAGATAGCTTCAACCTGCAATGTTTTCCCTTAAATCACAGACCGATATCCAGAATGTGGAGCTCTGCCATTTAAAATATTAATTATTCTCATGTAATCCACAACTACAAGTGCCTTTCTGAAACATATTGTCTGAAGTCAGATTTTGCATGGTTGTTAGGAAATTGAGTTTAAACCTGATTATTGGCTACATGAAAGCATTTATTTAGCTATATTTGTGATTGTTTAACTCTAAAAAAAGTATTGTTTCCGAGGTTTTCCTAAATCTCAGCACTGAAATCTGTATCCTGGTACTAAATCCATCGGCAGTGATTGGTCAGCAATATAAACCTTTTTGTTATGGCATGACATATACTAGATACATATTTATAGTTAATGTCTGCAAACAGTACCTTATGTTTGTATAGTATTTTAAAGTTTCCAGGATATGGTAACATTCATGCTATCTAGTTTTTTCTTCACTGTTTTGTCCCTGTTAAGAAGATATTGATGTCTTTTCACCGAGGGAGCTGAGTTCCCCATTTACAAGCTTATTAGACAACCCAGAATTAATTTGCAATCAGATCTTCTGTTTCTAAGGCCATTTTCTATTTGCACCCTCCCAAAAAGGTCACACAAAGTACTTCTTACATACTAATTTAAAACCTGCAGAAATCAATGTAATTAATATGATTTTTTTTTTTTTTTTTTTTTTTGGTTAACATTAATGCAATAGAACTAATGTGAGTCCTTTAGGGAAAATTATCCTTATTTTTCACAAAAAGTTTCTCTCTATACTGATCTTCTTGCAGCATTCTAATGCTCAGTGAAAGAGGCATTTTTGAATTAAAGCCCTCTTGTGAGCAGTATTCTAGTTGAGTAATTACGCATTACAATAATCAGTTTATAAATGAGATAGTCATTTCTTGAAAATTCAGTATTCATAAACATTGATTAACTTCCCAACTGACTTTTGCTTTCTTCTAATCTTTACATGAGATCTCGAGCCGGGTAGGCCTGGAGATGTACTCTGACCTAGTACAGTTTGCCTTTACACAGTTTCCTGACTGTTTCATGGGGGGCATTAGTTACTGATTTTACCTTTTTTTCCCCAGTGTAATTGGTTCTTCTCCCTGTACCTCCAAATTCTGAATTTGTTTCTCAGACACAAATAAGGATGATATTTACTTGATGTTAAAATGAAATCAAAGAAAATAGGCTCTCGGCTTTGGTTTCTGCACTCCCCACTCCTCTTCTCTGGGCTCCCCCACAAGTGCCTATTGGGTGTGTTGACATTGTGTTTCTTGCCGATGGGATTAATTGGAGATGAGAGTAGTGCTGCATGTTTTGATATTTTCTGGAAGGGGATGTGCTGACTCTTATTAAAAAACATATTCAGAAATGTCTTACGCACTGTAATTTAATCCCACAGTCCGGTATTGGTTTGGATGGTTTTCAGTTCAAGCCATGTAACCATTAAATAAGATTACATAACACTGTATTTTTAATTATCTGATATAATGTATGGATTGGCGGCTGATTCCCTGCCAAGTTATATTTAGCTGTTAGTTATAGGAGCAGAGGACTCAGGATTAAGGTAGTCTGTTTGTGTCCAAATTGATAAAGCTCTTTATTGATATTTCAAAGTAAACATTTTTCATGTTACATCATTTTCTCCAATATCAGGAATTTTAGCATTACTTAGAAAATATGTGGGGAATACATACGTATACAGGGAGGATCACTGCTTTACCTGATGTGCATTTTTTTGGTAAAGTATGAATGAAACCCAGTGGTTTGGCATTTCATGTGGGTTGATCCCTTTGGAAAAATCGTTTTGATTTGTCTGAGCATTGTTAGGCCTGTAAAATGAGAGGGCAGGAACGGGAATTGCGCAATTACGTGCGAGTGTGGTGCCTTCTTCCGATAGCGTGTGGTTCTCTGGTTCGCCCAGAGGAGGATGTGGCTGTTTAGTTTTTCATTGTGGGTTTTTGTTTGTTTGTGTTTTGGTTTTGGTTTGGTTTTGAAAGGAACTGGATGTGATGGTTCAGTTTTAGGTAAATGTGCATGTATCGTTTTATGGTCACAAGTGAGTAGTGATTGTGAATTCTAGTGTTTTGGCACCTGGACATTAATGAGGTGCTTGTTGGGACCCTAATAGCAGGCTTCTGTGCCAAGTCCTGAGATAGAAGAGGCAAAGACAGTTTGGTCTCCTGAGACAGCCCCGCCCTCCTCAGTGGTTGAGGGTGAGTGTCAAGTTTATAGATGCTCTCCTTCCTCAGCAACGGCTCCTTAGTCCTCAGCAGTCCTTCTGAAATACTCAGTGGCCAGATGGTGTTAGACTTAACTCCCGCAGTTTGTTCATTGTGACCTTAATACTGGTAATAGACCAGGGATGGGCAGATTGTTGGGCCAGTCTTTCAGTTAGAAACCCAGACTCTGACCCTTCAAATGACTTGACCAAGGTAATGTCAGCGTACTTTGTTGTTCTTTTGTCATGCCTTCCTCACCCATAAGTCTGCAGTTAAGTTCCCATCAGCCTGTGTTGATACAGTTAGTTAATGACAGAAGGAGAATGGAAACTCTAGCCTCAGTAAGTGTAGTTTGTTCCTTTCTCTCCTGATATGTTGGATTGAAAGATAAATGATGTAGCATCCATTTAATACCTCACCCGTCATATCTGCTGTTCCTTCTGACCACTTTTCTCTCTCCTCAGTGGATTCGAGTTCTTGTTTTCTGGTCTCTTGGCACCCATTGGTTTCCTCTCCCATGGAGTAGGGGGATCCTCACCACACCCTGTTTGGATCCCTTTGTCTTCACCAGAGAGTGGGCGCTTGACCAAGAGGCAGAGCCTGGTCCTCCTTCTCTGTCTATAGTACCTAGCATCATTCTCCAGGCATAGCCCTCGCTAACTCCAATCTTCCTCTGGCCATTGTGTTCTAAGTATCTTAGGGGTAGAAGAGTTAGAAAGTGTATATGGGATTGAGCAGTTGGTGAGGCGCTAACCACCTAAGAGCACCTGAATTGGGGTGGGGATGGAGTCCCTCACAGCTCTGCTCCTATCAGTCCAGGAATGTCCTAAGTGAAATGCAGGTGAAAGCAAGCAGAGGAGCACACTGTGCTCTTTCTGTGTGGTAGAACAGCAGGGGTCCTGCTCTAGGGAATAATGAGTAGTGTCAGCTCTGTTTTGCCTCAGATGTTTATTTACTTTTATTTTTCGTGAGGAACTTGTTAAGCCAGTGTGCCCTAATGCAGCTAGCTCTTCGTTCTTAAACCCCAGTAAGATTTTACTCCCCAGAAGTTTAGAAGCCCTTGTCACATGCCTTCTTACACGAAGGAGCTAATCTGTAGTTTCAGATGCTAAACAGAAACCCAGAGCCGGACTCACCACAGGAAAGACAAATTGCAAATTGAATTGCAATAGCAGGTTTGGTATTGGAAGACCCCTTTGCCTGTTGTCATTCTTTTCGCCTGCTTGAAGACAGAATGGCTTATGTATTTACGGAAACAGTAAAAGTGGGGTGTCCCTTAGCGCAGGAGATGGTGATCATAATAAAGCTGCTGCACTGAGGGCCCCTTCTGTGGCGAGTGCTTTCTGTGCATTGTCTTTGATCCACGACAGATCATGCAAGGTAGGTGGTTTTGTCCCCTGCTGGCTTCTTTTGTTTGTTTTTTCAGTTAGGGACACTAAAGCTCAGAAATATGAAGTAAGTTGCTCAGCCACGTTGCCAATTTTGTGAGTACTCAGGCTAAAATTTTCAGTCAAGCCTACCTGTTTTGATAGAATACTTTAAGGAAAGAGACAAAAGGATGTCTCTCAACATTGGTCCTTGTTTTTCAATAAAATTTTTTTTTCATAGTAGGAACCTGTCAGGAATTGCCATTGGTGGTGATAAATTTTTAAAAGAGGTTTCTGAAAATGTGTTTTACCAAAAAGGCGAGCCCACTTTTTCCCTAAGCTCTTC